ATGCTATGCCAAGCGAATGTTCAAAGACAATTCCTATGTTTTCACGAAAAAACACACAGAACCCTCACACCAATCACTACCCAACTCGCCACACACAGATCACCAACCATCAGTAGACCAACTCGCCACACAGATCACCAAACACCGGTATACCAAACTCGCCACACAGATCACCAACCATCAGTAGACCAACTCGCCACACAGATCACCAAACACCGGTATACCAAACTCGCCGCACAGATCACCAACCATCAGTAGACCAACTCGCCACACAGATCACCAAACACCGGTATACCAAACTCGCCGCACAGCACGATGTCCGACGTTCCGCTGCACGTGCTGCGGACATCGTGCCTAACGAACAACCCTCAAACACACACACACACAAACACACACACGCACGCACACACACACACACACGCACACACACCACACACACACACCACACGCACACACACACACCACACACACACACACCACACACACACACCACACAAACACACACACACAAACACACACACCACACACACACACCACACACACACCACACACACACACACCACACACACACCACACACACACACGCACACACAAACACACACACACAAACACACACACACGCACACACACACCACACACACACCACACACACACACGCACACACACACCACACACACCACACACACACACACCACACACACACACACGCACACACACACAAAACACACACACACACCACACACACACAAAACACACACACCACACACACCACACACAGACACCACACACACACACACCACACACACGCACACACACACACAAACACACAAACCACACACAAACACACACACACCACACACACACACACCACACACACACACACCACACACACACCACACACACACACGCACACACACAAACACACACACAAACACACACACACGCACGCACACACACACCACACACACACGCACACACACACAAACACACACACACTAACACACACACACAAGCACACACACACACCACACAAACACACACACAAGCACACACACACCACAGAGCTGGACGTGAACTGCTTTCGCAAAGCGAAGTTATCGCGCGACCTGCGCTGCGCGGGTTGTTGGAGTTGAATCGCGCGGCGCGTGTCCCCGTGCGCGCGTGCACGTGTCCCCGTGCGCGTGTCCCCGTGCGCGTGCACGTGTCCCCGTGCGCGTGTCCCCGTGCGCGCGTGCACGTGTCCCCGTGCGCGTGTCCCCGTGCGCGCGTGCACGTGTCCCCGTGCGCGTGTCCCTGTGCGCGCGTGCACGTGTCCCCGTGCGCGTGTCCCCGTGCGCGTGCGCGTGAGAGTGCGCGCGGGGGGCTGTCTCGCCTGTCGAGGTTGCGAGTTTGTCCTTATTGCTGACACGCAGGCGAGGGCACGGCACACGTGCCAAGGGAGCAGTCTAACAGAGTCGCGCAACAAGCGACGCGTGCTAGTCGGCGTTGCGTTGCTAATTAACCTGAATAATTAAGACTGCAGGTTTCAAGTGCACACGCCATTTTTATTTATTTTACTGTATTCTCCGGATTACAATAAGGCGCTCCGGAAAGAAAGACGCACCCCGAAGGTGTTCCCCGTGTCAATACGGTAATACAAACCTCGGTCACACGCACGCACACGTACACCTCCCGGGTGATAAGACGCACCTGCAACTTGTTTATGTAAAGCGCACAGGAATCAAGTGCGTCTTATAATCAGCAAAGTTCGGCAAAGCGAATTGAATACCCGGTACGCAGCACAGAACAACCTCGCGAGAGTCGCTTGGGTGCAACACTGAACATACACAAAGACAAAGATCCCCGAATAGCCTGAACAGACTTTGGGGGCAAGTGCTGTTCGCGAGCACCTATGAAGGCCGGCAAGGCACACGCGTTGCTGTTGGGTGGCCAGCACCACGCCCGGTCGCCTGCGTCTCGCTAGTGGCGATGTTTACACATCGCACAAGGTACTAATTTAAGGCTGAGTCGACCTAGGAGAGGCCCAGGACGGGTTCAGATATTCGTCACCGATATTGCTCGACCAGTGCGCTAACCACTGCAGCTGCCGCTACCCGCACACGTACACACACGTGAGACGCGTCTAACAATCATCAGGCGCGTGCGGCGAGCACCGACTTTCTTCAAACGGAGTGATACCTGGTGAGGAGCATGGGCGTGCGAGGAGTGGAGTCGTGGACATCCCTGTTGGGTGGCGTTATCCAAGCACACACACGTACGTGTACAAACAAAAAGGCAACACACATCATATGCGACGTTTCGGGCAATGGACCTTCGCAGTGCATGAAGGGCCATTGTTTGAAATGTCGCTTATTACTGTATATAGTTTCCCTATGAAGGAGAAGGTTGTTGTATGCGTTGAGTTGTTTTCGTTGTTATTGGTGCACCACTGCCAACGCAGCTGCAGCATCAATCACATCTTCTCAACACACACATTTGGTAAACAACTGTCACGCGACACAGCGAGCGCTGATTGTCATGCAGTTAAAGACATGCACCGTGTGTGGGCCTGTTCCGCGTGCCGCAAGAGAGGAGAGCGACGATTCTAAACAAGTTTGTGTAACTCCTGCATGAAGGAACACAAAGCGACAAGCCACGCAGGCAGCTCATTCGCAATTCGTGGAATCCACATCCAGACTCACTTTCGCACTCGTCAAGTTCCAGAACGCTGCTAACACGGGCTTGGAGTTGGCATCTTCGGCGTAAGGAACTACCACGAGAGTACACACGAACGCCTATCGATCAATAATATTCCTGTTTTATTGCACCACATGTTGTTGAAATCCTATGAACAGGGTGATAGGAATATCGGCTACAACGAGAACACAATTAGGGCAGGTGGAAATGGGGGTGCCAAAGTCATTCCGGACCGAGTTCCGGATGTCGGTGCGCGCCGCGCTGCTGCACGCGGTGGGGGCCGCGCGTTCACGCGGCCGCGCCTCACCCCACGAACACCCCCCCCCCCTGTCCACCCCCCCCCCTGTCCACCCCCCCCTCCCCCAGGAAACTCCCCCCCTTCTACCCCCTCTCCATTCCCCCTCCACTCCCCCCTCCCGTCCACCCTCTCTCCACTCCCCTTCCACTCTCCCCCGTCCACTGCCCCTTCACTCCCCCCCTGTCCCCCCGTCCACTCACCCCCCGTTCACCCCCCCTGTCCGCCCCCCCCCCCATCCGCCCCCCCCCCGTCCGCCCCCCCCGTCCGCCCCCCCCCCCCGTCCACTCCCCCCGTCCACCCCCCCTCCACCCCCCGCCCCCCCCCGCACGCTCCGTAATTAAGCGTCGCGGCGACCACCGCCAATCGGTTCGACTCCTTTCGCGGTTGCGTTTTCTTACTTCCCCCATTTCTCCCTTCCTTCCCCCACCCCCTCCACCTCACCCCCCAGCTCCATCCCACTGGTGTTGTTCTCTCTGGAGATTCGGTATGACGGGGGTGGTGAGGGGTGGGGGGCGAGCGAGTGAGAGAGTGAGAGTGTGTGAGAGTGTGAGAGTGAGTGAGTGAGAGAGTGAGTGAGAGTGAGAGAGTGAGTGAGAGAGTGTGAGAGTGATTGAGTGAGTGAGTGAGAGTGTGAGTGAGTGAGAGAGTGAGTTAGAGAGTGAGTGAGAGAGTGAGTGTGAGATAGTGGGAGAGTGTGAGCCTGCGTGAGTGCGTGAGTGAGTGAGAGAGCGTAAGAATGAGAGAGTGAGAGAGTGAGTGAGTGAGTGAGAGAGTGAGTGAGTGAGTGAGAGTGTGAGTGAGTGAGAGAGTGTGAGAGTGAGTGAGAGAGTGAGTAAGAGATAGTGAGAGTGAGTGAGTGAGAGAGTCAGTGAGTGAGAGAGTGAGTTAGAGAGTGAGTGAGTGAGGGTGAGTGAGTGAGCGAGTGAGTGAGTGAGAGAGTGAGTGAGTGAGTGAGAGTGTGAGTGAGTGAGAGAGTGAGTTAGAGAGTGAGTGAGAGAGTGAGTGTGAGATAGTGGGAGAGTGTGAGCCTGCGTGAGTGCGTGAGTGAGTGAGAGAGCGTAAGAATGAGAGAGTGAGAGAGTGAGTGAGTGAGTGAGTGAGAGTGTGAGTGAGTGAGAGAGTGTGAGAGTGAGTGAGAGAGTGAGTAAGAGATAGTGAGAGTGAGTGAGTGAGAGAGTCAGTGAGTGAGAGAGTGAGTTAGAGAGTGAGTGAGTGAGGGTGAGTGAGTGAGTGAGAGAGTGAGTGAGTGAGAGAGTGTGAGAGAGTGAGAGAGTGAGTGAGAAAGTGAGTGAGTGTGAGAGTGAGTGAGTGAGAGAGTGAGTGAGTGAGTGAGAGAGTGAGAGATAGTGAGAGTGAGTGAGTGAGAGGGTCAATGAGTGAGAGAGTGAGTTAGAGAGTGAGTGAGTGAGTGAGAGAGTGAGTTAGTGAGAGCGTGAGTGAGTGAGAGAGTGTGAGAGAGTGAGAGAGTGAGTGAGAGAGTTAGTGAGTGAGAGAATGAGAGAGTGTGAGAGTGAGTGAGTGAGAGAGTGAGTGAGTGAGAGAGTGAGTGAGTGACTGAGTGAGTGACTGAGAGAGTGAGTGAGAGTGAGTGAGTGACTGAGAGTGAGTGAGAGAGTGAGTGAGTGAGAGTGAGTGAGTGAGAGTTAGTGAGAGTGTGAGAGTGAGAGAGTGAGAGTGAGTGAGAGTGTGAGAGAGTGAGTGAGAGTGTGAGTGTGAGAGAGAGAGTGAGTGAGTGAGTGAGAGAGTGAGTGAGAGTGAGTGAGTGAGAGAGTGAGAGAGTGAGTGAGAGTGAGTGAGTGAGAGTTAGTGAGTGAGAGTGAGTGAGAGAGTGAGTAAGTGAGAGTGAGTGAGTGAGAGTTAGTGAGAGTGTGAGAGAGTGAGTGAGTGTGAGAGTGAGTGAGTGTGAGCGATGTTGCTGCGATCGCCGTGCGTGTCGCGTGCGGGCGATCCGCAGGGCCGAGTGAGCAATCTCCCCCCTCCTCCCCCCTCCTCCCCCAACCCTCCCCCACCCTCCCCTCCCTTTGTGGCTTTCTTCGAGTGAACTTGGGGTTGTCCGTGCGGGGCTCGGCACAAGATCGCGTAACGATTTGGCGAGGCGTGCGCGAGTGACGCGCGGCGCTTTCGGCCGCTCCCTCTCTTTGTTCTGCGCGCGGGTGTCGGTGAGTAGCAGTCCAGCGCTGTGATGTTGTTGTTGTTGATGTTGTTGATGTTGTTGTTGTTGATGATAATGGTGGTGGTTTTGTTGCGAGTGTTTGCATCGTCGTCGTCGTCGTCTTCGTCATGCCCCTTTTGCTTCGCCGGATGAGTCGAGTTCGTGTGGCCCTGTTGTGTGTGGTGCGCTTCGAGAGAGTTCGGCAACTGTTGAGAGACGGCGGAAAGTTCAAGTTTAGCGGCTGTGGGCGACGGTGCCTCTCCGCCGTGGAAGTCGCGGCGACGGGAAGTTTGCGGCCAACGATCCCTCCTCCCGCCTTTCCCGCCGAGTTGCGCTCCGCGCGAGGGGTTATTGTTCTGCAGAGGCGGGCAACGACGACGTCGGGGTGCGTACGCGCAATGCGGGAGTTTGATTTGCGTTACCGTCGAATGGATGATGGCTAATTTGAGAAGACGACGAGGTGGAGGCGGTGGTGGTGGAGGAGGAGGAGGTGGTGGAGGAGGAGTACGCGTACTTGTTCGGGGTTATTGAGATGCGTCACAATGAGAGGGCGTCTTCGCTCGCTGTTCACGAGCCGTAACTTCGAATGTCGCCCTTATTGATCAATTGGTACGACAAGATAAGGACGGGAGGCGTTCGTTTTCCGAGAGAGGGTCGTGATGTGCGATGTTCGGTGTGATGTTGATGAAATCCTGCTGCTGATGATGATGATTATGCTGCTGCTGATATCCTATTGTGGAACGGGTTCGCGGTCTTTTGAGTAGATGCTATTATCCGAGGCACAGCTCCTCACACAGCCTAGCAGGGCGCTGTACATACCCCGAGCTGTGACGATGGCACTGCTGCTGCTGCTTGTTGTGACACCATTGAAGCAAAACGTGCATATGATGCAGAGTAAATCCGTAATTTGTGCGCCATGGAGAAGGGTGATCGCACGAAACGTCGCCCATCACTGTGTGTGTGTGTATACTGTCGGTGAGGACAGTGACGAGTGTGAGTTGCGACATACTGCGTGGCAGCGGCGTTTTAAATCTCAAATAAGTGATCAATTACATGCTTGTTGTTTTGAAATCGTAAACGGATGACAAGTACTACTTATTGTGGTGTTATTGCGTATGGCGCGATCAGCTTCACGAACCTGTAACGAGTGCTCACCTACATCACCTGCCTGCTCTCGCCGTCTCACCCAGATCTCCCGTGAGCTCTGGTCGGGTGTCCAATATAAAACTCGCTTATTCACAATATCCGACACGTGTAGTAATAATGATGATGATGCCTCCTAGCTTTTCTCAACGTCGAGTCAGCCGCCGTGATGCTGCATATTCCTTTCGAACAATAAGATTGTCACGTACGCGTAGCGCTTTGTTTGACCACGTGTACCGGTTTTATAACGAAGTTGAGATTTAATGAGGTTCACGGTGTGTGTGTGCGTGCTTTTCCCCGTTATTCCTACCCTGTAGCCAGCCTGTGTGTGTGTGTTTATACCGTCCATGTGCATCATCGCTACCATCGTCTCACCAACCACTGGTGAGTTCTATGGGCGCCTTTTCGTTCACTTCACGAAGTCGCAATGCTACCGCGGTCGTGGCCTGCAGCTAACGCGTCGTGTTGTTTGTTGTCGTGTCGTGATTCTTGTAGCCGTCTCTGATTGGACAATCTGTCACCTGTGGCTTAATTTGACCGAATACTCCTCTACTGTATCGTAAACGTGTTAACTCGACACAATAGACAGGATTTGCGTTTAACTCAATAGACAGAACTGTATAACTCGATAGACAGAACTTTAACTCGATATACAGGACTTTAACTCGATGGACAAGACTTTAACTCAATAGACGGAACTTTAACTCGATAGACAGGACTTTAACTCGATGGATTTGACTTTAACTCGATATACAGGACTTTAACTCGATAGATTTGACTTTAACTCGATGGACAGAACTTTAACTCGATGGACATGACTTTAACTCGATAGAGAGGACTTTAACTCGATAGATAAGACTTTAACTCGATAAACAGACAGGACGCGTACATTTCAACAATGGTCGCGAGCAGGAGCTGTTTGTGTGGAAGGACATCTGTACAATGTGTACGTGAATGATCGAATATCCAAACGACAACGCTTTGTCGAACAGAGGGAACCGACGTGTGAGCCCGTGAACTACCCACCTTGAGTTCCGGCATGAAAATAAAATACTTTGTGAAGTTATTGTTGTTCGTAAACAACAAGAAACCCCATCACAACAGAAACTCGTGACTGTGGTGATGAGTCCTAATGACGACGACTCTGTCCACAGTCGGCTCGTCTCCCTGCTGCCCGTCAGCCACAATTGCTCCTATTGTTTCGATGGAGACTTAACACGAGATCACGACAATTCAGTGCTACAGGAACTACTGGTTTTGCATAAAAATGCTTAGCGCTGAGCTGTTCGTACGCGGAGTACACGTGGTTGGCGTGTTGTTGAAACTACAAGAATCAATGTCTCTGTTTGTGGTTTGCGTTCGACTGAATTTAGCGGCCACTAGTGGCTGATGAGGTACAAACTGAACGATTCGAAACCAATGATTCTGTACACGCGCGACGCTCGATTATTAATCGACGGATCGGTTTTCTTCGGCCAACACGTGCTTTCCTCTGCTTGACGAACACCGTGTCCCGTGTATACCAACTCGGGTCGAGGTTCGTAGCCACATAATCGGCCCTGGTAAATCCACTGCTGGATGAGGGGCATCCCCAAACTTGTCACAATCTCTCAGGATCATGCAAAGTCTAATCATGATGATGATGATGATGTTGATTTGAAGCTTTCGTGACTGCAGGAATCTATGCTTCGGCAGTTTTTTTCTTGCTGTGGTTGTCCCACCTGATGACGATTGCTTGTGTTGCGATCGAAACGTCGTGATCTATTATTCTTCTACCTACGTGACTTTACCGAAAGAACCAAAAAGTATGATGATGATGATGATGCTTCTAGCACCTGCACACGGAACTCATTCTGTGCGTGCCATCCCCTCGTCGGATGGTTGATTTTTTTCTCGAACGCGCGTTTTGTTTCTTGGTTGTTACTCCGCCATCGCTGCCGTGCCTCGCGTGCGCGTGCAACGTTCGCGACAACGACGTGTGGCAGTGACAAGGAGACGTCCTCTCGACTTGACGAAGAGGCTTGCCGAGTGACGGCGGTGACGCCAGGTCCCGCTTGGAGGCGGTCGCGTGTGATGGCGAACTTCTCTTCGCCTACCGTGCGCAGGCAACCGTGCTGGTTTGGAGGCGCGGGGAGAAGGATAACAGACTCGACACGAAGCATAATTGCTGGCTAATGACGCAAAACGGCCGATGCAGTACGACACCGCGTGTGCTAATGTGGCTGTCTAAATGTAACTGCGTCCTCGAGTCGCGCTGCCAAAAGCGCAACATGGGTGTCGCATGGAACCGGCGACAAGCAGCAAGGAGTTGTACAACTCGACGCCGACTTGAGGCATCCCAGTAGATCGATGATTCTTGACTCGGGGAGCACGCGCGCACCCGCACCCCCTTGGGTGCGAGATGCCCTTTCTGCGGGTGCGAGACGTGGGCAGATTTTTCAAAGATAAATCATCGGAAGACAAGTTAAGCACGGGCATTTAAGTTACAACTACTCTGTTTCATCAAACTCTGAGTATGTATTAACAGTGTACATGCTTTTATTATTGAGAACCCAATGGGTGCAAGGCTGCAGTGAAGGTTAATAACTACCACTGGCGCAGATAGATGGGCGATCGTCACGGGAACAAAGGAAGACGGAAACGTCTCGGGTTTTAACTTGAACTCGGGAAAATGAGTCGACAGCACGGACTGCTGGGGAAGGGGGTGAGCTCCCAGCGAACAAGCCACGGTCGTACGGGGATTTGGGAGAGGAGGGACCGTGCAGGTGAGGAGGAGTAGGGAGATGAGTGGGGAGAGGTAGCGGAGTGCGTGGAGGGGAGTCGTGAGGTTAGAGGGGAGGTATGCAGGGTGAGCAGTCCATTGGGGAGCTTGACGATGATTGGGTCAATCTCGCCGTTGAGCCGGGACTGGATCTGGGGCCAGTGGAGGTATTTAATGATGTGGCTGATGTGCTGCTGCTCTCTCACCATGGCGGCAGTGAGCGAGGAGGCTTGCACTGCGCTCACTTTACGTGAATGAAATTAAAGCGCTCGTCAAGCGCTAATTCGCAATGGCTGTGAGCAGGTGTGTGGGATCGATTTTGAATTGAGAGTGGTAGAAGCAACTATCCATGGGGGGTCCGTGATGGATATTTAATTTAGGAGGCATATAATATGAATTTTGGAGGGAGGGGGGCGGTGGATAGCAACTGCTACCGAGTCGGTCACATCCTTTATTTTAATCCGTGCGAGAGCTCATTGAAATGACACCTCTCTGTCTCTCTCAAGGGAGACACCTGGGCTACCGACGCAAACTCAAGGATGCCAAGCGATTGTACAGCAAGACAATTAAGTGGAAAAAAAAATTAATAAATTTGACAATGATAATAACGAATGCAAACCACTTGTGTCAATCCGCCGCCGGATGAACGCCTCTCCACCCCAATGATTGCCATAACTCTTCAAATTGTCACAAATCACAACTATTGACGGTGGTGCAAAAAAAAATGACGTAACGTGAAACAAATGCAACGTTTCGGACGAGATGATTTATAACGGCGATCAAAATCATTTGCACTCAAATTTCCTCGCCTCCGACTGCAGTTTATCACAGCAGACCCATTGAGAGGGAACAGATGGCGATTGTAAAAGTCCATCAATCCACGTTCGTGGAGATGCCAGTCCGCGGTTGCTTTGGCACTGCGGGCATGCAATCCGCACGTGTGACATGCACACAAGTCGCGGGAGCGTGGCAGAGCGTGCTGGAAGAGCCTCGTGTGCACCGAGGCGCGGCTGTGCGCAGAGGCTGCTGCATGCCCCGTGAAGTTGACGTCGCAAAGGGCTGGATGACGTCCGCTCGGGCGCAGATGGGTGACCGATTCATTC